CATGTAATTGTCACGTTAGTTTTGTGGTTTCCGGTGATAGTTATTTTATTATTTATAAATCCCAAATGTATCTGTAATACCAGTTTATTTAGAATATGAGTTATATTGTGATGGGAATTTGGAGGTTTTTTTTATTATTAAAATAGCTCCGACAATTCAGAGATCAATAACTATGAATAGACATAGAACAACTTTATTCCGTTACGTCAAGTGGATCTTTTCCTCGCCCGACACGGCCCCAAAATGAGAGATGTCAGTGGATCAATGTCCCATAATATTTCCCCAACCAGTCTGTTCACTGATATTTCGACATCCTTTGAGACAAGCAGCTTCTCTTCAGGTTTTTACAGAAACCGTTTGCGTCATAGGCGCTGTTATTTTAAATATGACCAGCAGGGGGAAGCATCGTAATTTTATTCAACAATGACTCTAGTTGTGGGTAAAACAGAATGTCGTTAACCCTCAAAAGTTAGTTAACAATATACAGAACCTAAGTGAAATACATATGAAATGGTTTTTTTTCTATGATTTATTTTGTTTATAATTCTTTACAAACTTGAAAATTAACTACATTTGTGGTATTCTAATGGAAATGTGACATGTTTTTGTGTCACCAAGGAATTTTATATCCTGCCGTTTTCCTTCCTTTAAAGAGTTTTGCCCGTGTTTTGTTTAGCTGGAAAGTAAAATGAAAATGGCAGCGTTACAAACTATAAAGTTTATCCAAAATCGTAGCGCAGGGTACGCCTCAGTACTCGCCACGACAAGGGGACACTTCACCGTCGTCCCGCCTGAGCAGAGCTGCATAAATTTAAATGAATTTGCAAGACGAAGAATGTGCGTCATGTCAATCAAGAGAAGACGCCCATTGTTCCGTGAGTGTGCGCGCATTCCAGCGGCGTCCAATCAGCAGCCGACTCTCCCTGGAGGAAGCCATTCCGGAACACCTGATTGGACGAAGCTGCAGAGAGCGGGGCCGGCTTTGTGCTGGCTGCAGTTTGCTGATTGCCGTGTGTAATGGGAACGCTGGCCTGCGCGATCACAGTGGTAGAGGAATTCCTGTCAATTAGGATGTTTCCCCCTTTTGTTCTAACATGAAGCTAAATCCAAGTCCTTAATACTGCTTCTGTTTGAATTTGTATTAGGCAGTTAATTGTGGCTCTTGTGTATTCCATTTTTACTCATAATAGGATTCTGGATTTCTTTAACTAGAACACTGGAAATGGTTTTACATGCATGAAAATAAGGGCAAAGTCTTTTTTAGGGGTGACATTCTGTGGCTTTTGTGGGGAGAGAAGGAGCTATAAATTCCTCTAGTTACTAGAAAAAACAGCAGAAGGTATATTGGAATGCCGGGGGGGATTAAGATAACACATCTTTCTTATATGGTGCAATATATCTTCCATACCAGAGGTTGTAACTTAATTCTTTTCTCCGGGAGCTGCCAGAGGGTTAGTACTGGATTATTGCTGCTGTGTGAGTAGGGCAGCCTTCACTAGTAATGTTGGGTCAGATGCATAATCCCCCTTCTAGCAGGTAAAGGGCAGGAGGTGGGGCCCCTTGAATGTAGGGGATTTCTGCAGAATTGCATTTTGGGAAAATTCCCAATAGAGCCATAGTCACCAGGTCTATTTAATGGAACATAAACACAGTGGATTTATATTTAGTGGTCACACGGAACCTGCCAGTCAAAACAAGGCTATTTCCATGACAGCACATTCAACGAAGGGTTGAATTTATATCAATTTTAGTTTTATATAATTTTTATAGAACATCCTTGCCAATGTAGGTGCCCTGGAGCGCATCGCAAGTGCATGTACAGACTCACACAGCTCATTGTACAAGCTGAAACAAACAAACGAAAAAACGTTAATTGAATAAATTCATCACTGGATTCCTCGAGGGCTGCAGTTCTGCATGTGCCATCACTGGATTCCACTCAGCTGGCATCGCCTGGTCTCCAGCTGTCTGCACTAACCCAGTCCTGCCTATCAGAAGCACCGTTTCAAGAGATGATCACCACCTCACTCAGGAGTCCAAGTGATGACTCAGTTCCTAATTGAAGGGTATCTCAGCAGCAGTGGGCCTTGACGCCATCAACCATTACATTTGTAAGTCTGTAACAATGATGAATCAAGACGAGTGCTATTTACTTCTTTACTCGCCGCGTCATGTTGGAGGTGTTTTTCCATCTCGATGATCACGCTGTGCTCTACAAAAGAGCATCCAGGACTGACTCTGCAGTTTAGATTTTCCTGCGAGGCTGGTTGCGCATCTACATTCCACAGTCTTCACCAAGGACGACCGCTGCATTTTTAATTGTTGTTTTTTTTTTTTCTGTCAGGAGGGACCTGGAAGGGCAGAAAGGCACCAGGGCCACAGTCCTTGATGCTGTGGAGGAGCTATCTCCATTTAGCACAGTGTTTTAGCACCATTTTAGCAAATCAGTGTTGAGAAACACTGGTTTAGCACTCACCAGTAAAAGGCTTTATATACGATGGCTCAATTCCTACAGCAAAGCAATTAAAATTCAAACGTGCCTGGATACTTCAGCACAACGCAAGTAATATGGCTTAGTTTTGCAGAAACAGCAACAGCCCGAACTGCTGTCTGAGGGGGGGTCATCGCCACGGAGCCACTCCAGACGCTTCCTGTCGTCCGGCCCCCTGAGAACCTGGGCAGGACTGGACAGCCTTCTCTGTTTATTTTGCCTGCGTGTTTGTCTTCCCTGCAAGGATGGGCCTGCATGCCGATGGCCCTTCAGTAAGCCAATCTAAAAGTGGCCAACTGTGGGCAGATACTTCCCTGTCTAGCCTGCTAATATCCCAGCTCAGAAGCATGTCCGTCAAATTTCCCTGACTGATCTGAAGTCGTGCTTTCTTCAGGTCTGGATGAGGGCATGAAAGTGGTTGGCCGCCTCGGTATGTCAGTGTCATGGCCGCATACATGCTCCTGATTGGCCACCAGCACAGCGGAGAACCACTTGTAAAGGTCGAGCCCCGCTCCCCCTCCGACTCTCTGCACTCTCACCCAAATCCCCTGAGGAATTCTAGGCATGTCTGCTCATAACGGAGGCTGTCTGCTCTCTGGAGGACAGCCGCAGGCGAGGCAAAGGGGGACTGAGCTGGACCTTTCTCCAGTCCCGTCCCTCTGCCCCACCATCGACGTGAAAATGCCCTGCATTACCCAGTAGACCCTGGTGCTCCATCTCGGTGACTGCAGTGTCCCAGAAAGTCATTCCTAGGCGACACACAGAATGTCGTGGTCCCTCCACGCGGAACCCGCCAGCTGGACTGACCCCCTCGGATGACGAGCCCCAAGCTGCAGACCCGGTGCTGAGCCGCGAGCATGCAGAGCTCTTCCCTCTTTGAAGACGGTGTTTGGCTTTTGGCTTCAGGTTAAAGTTACATCAAATTCCTGCTTTAAATATTTAATCAGCCATGCCGTTGAAAAGGAGAAATTCACACTTGCACTTCCATCTCTCTGGAAAAATACTTTTTTGTTTAACCTAGATGTACAAAAATTAAAATAAGAGTTTTAAATTAGGAGATTAGGAATTATAGGATTAGGAATTGCCCTTCCCTCTATCCATCCATCTTTTAAATAATTAGTTACGGAGACCTCTGGGACCTGGGTTCAAGTCTCCGCCTGGGTTACATGTGTGTGGAGCTTCCATGTTCTCCCCGTGTCGTCGTGGGGTTTTCTCTGGGCACTCCAGTTTCCTCCCACAATCCAAAGACATTCTGAGGCTAATTGGAGTTACTAAATTGCCCTTAGGTGTGCATGTGTGAGTGAATGGTGTGTGAGCATGCCCTGCAATGGGCTGGCCCCCTGTCCAGGGTTGTTCCCTGCCTCGTGCCCACAGGTTCGGGACCCCCTGCGACCCAGTAGGATAAGCAGGTTGGAAAATGGATGGATGGAGTTACGGTGAGGGGGGGGGGGGCTGGAGTGTATTCCAGGCTGGGGTACAGCCCCAATGGGAGGCCAGTCCAAGGCAATGTAGGAATTGCTACTCTGACAATTACTTTGTAACTATTCTTCTCTCAGTTTAGTGGACAAAGGGCATGTGACATGCAGGCTCACAGTCAAACATTAGTGTCATGGGGGTCCAGCAGCCATACTGATAGACACCTCTGATTTTTTTTTTGCCATTTGCACAAATGCAATGCCTCTCTTTGCCCACCCCAGTTTGGCCTCCACACAGGTGAGTGAGAGCAAGCTCATGGGTCACAGCGCAGACATGTGACTATCTGCAAAGAGTCACACCAGTGACCTTCCAATCACAGGCACAGAGCCGCTCACCAGCTCTCGGCTGATTTTGCCCACTGGGGGGGGTCACCTTCAAAGATTTCGCTATGATATTGGTGGCTGAAGCATGTGCCTGATCAGTAACAAACATTTCAGGAGTAGAGTTCAAACATATTATTTTACTTTGTGCTTTTGTGCCTGGTGCTGTGCAGGTGATGTGGAGTCGTGCAAACTTTGATGCACATTCTGTATCCTCACAGCGAACACCTGCACGAGCGCGCAAACTAACTTTAGCGGAAAGCACAGCATAGCGGGCAGAGTCACAACCAAAGTATTCTGTCCGAGTCGGTCAATACTGCTCTCTCTCTCTGCACGTGACGCTCTGAGAGGGGAAGCGGGGGGGGCGGGCGTGGTCCTGTCCGGTTGTGGCCGTTGGCTGGCACTGAGTCACGCTCGGCCGGATCCATTGTTAACCCATTTGCCGGTTCTGTCCGGCACTGGCCCTCACACTGAACAACAGCAGTGCTTACACCCCCCAAAAATGTGTCTGTTTGGCAAAACGCTACACACACCCCCGACTCATATACAAGAAAACTAGGATTAAACAGAATGGTTAAATTAAAAGTGGATTAAAAGTGGACATACATCAATAAGAATTAATAAAGAAAAATAAAGCTTGAACAGAATGCTGCATCCAATCACTTAACATTTTATTGCACAAAGCAGATGCTAAGATGAACTAGACGCTACGTTTAAAGCGTTTCTTAGCTATTATATTCTCACAAAATCCAGTCTCAACTGGCACAGAAAAAATAATAGAATTATATTACAGCGATGCCATGCTTATGGGCGGTGTGGTGGCACAGGGCATGGCACTGCCACTCCGCACGTCTCTGCTTACGGTTCTGAATCTTGCCTCTTCTCTCTCTGTTTAGCGTTTTTACACGATTCTCTCGCAGTCCAAAGACATGCAGTTGGGCTAATTGGTGTCTTTCTAAATTGCCCCTAGAGACTGAGCGTTTGCTGGTGTGTGACTGGCATCCGGTCTATGGTTTCCCCCAACCCAGTGCACCGTATACATTTATATAGCTGGAACACGATGTTCGTGTTTCCAGTCCACTTGCAGAGTAAATTGCATCGATTAGTGCTGGACTTTGTTTCACCTCGATGTATTTTACAGAAACGACCCATCAGCGGGGGGGGGGGGGGGGGGGTGTCATCCTCTAGCAAATGTCCAACGTGAAATACTGCCCCCTTTTTTGGTTTCTTGTGCATCATCCCTCTCACGGTGAGGTAGGGCCATGTTGTTCTTTGCCGCTTCCCAGGATGCACAACACCGGCACTAGCTTGGGGGGGGGGGGTGTCAGACTGTCACCGTCTGTCACATGCACCTTGGCACTCCATGGTAACTTGCTTGGAGGGATTGACGACCCGGCCAGTCCCGCCCACAGTCATGTCGCTGCAGAGGGATGGGAGAGAGGAACCAGACCATCGAACGGGGGCACCAGGTTCCCCAGACCACCTTCTCGTAGATTCTATTAGCATTCGCAGCTCTGCCTTTCACACAGCGCAGCGGTGCAGTGGTGCAGTGGCCAGGGGACCAGGCTTCTGTGTAGAACAAGCAGTTGTGGTAGATGGATGGACTTCTGTCAGCTAGGCTGTTGTAGCAAATGTCTTAAAAATAATATTACTGTAAAACAATTAATTGCAAAGCTATATACAACATCAGAACCAGAGGGCCTTTTCTCTTTTATAGTCAATATTTCTGCTATTAAAAACCCACAACTCAATTTAGATTACTTATATTATACTGCAACTCATTTAATATCAATTTAATTTTTATCGTTCTGAAATGTAAAGTGTGGTTGAGTGTTACCAGATCTATTATTGATGTGTTACTTTATGTAATATCTTGGTTGGAAGCTCATATATATATATATACACACACACACAGACGCTCCTCTACTTACGAACTTTCAACTTACGAACTTTCTGACATACGAACGAAGAGGACCGTAAGTCCAAATTGTGTTCATTGGGCTCCCGTTTCCTGTCAGCAACATCAATTTTTTTTCTGTGCTCCAATTCCGCCCAGTATGACTTCTGGCCGTTACTCCCATCGCGCAGCAGCGTAGCGTGCGTACTCCCAGCATCCTAGTTCTTTGTACTTGCATATACCCTTAAAATGATGTTGAATAACGACTTACGAACATTTCAAGTTACAAACGGCCTTTCGGAACATATCTTGTTCGTAAGTAGAGGAGCGTCTATGTATATATATTCTTATACATAGTTTTAACAGATGTTAACTTTGCATTAAAAGACTGATTAAATAAACAGTACTGACAGTCAAAGTGATAGATAAACTTCATTAACCTACATTTTCAGGAAAGGAGCCATAAGAGTTGGTGCACTGACTGGGATACTGGTGGGGGTGATGGTTCACGGTGGTGTCTCTGTGAGAGTCTATGACTCCCCAGTACAGCCTGCTGCAGAGACAATAACAGAGAATTCAGTCAGGGGGACATATGGGCAGCGGGGGGGGGGGGGGCAGTGAGTCGGGCCTTTCAGAGAAAGAAAGGGCAGTCAATGGGGACACTGGTAGACCAGTCCATCAGTGCTCCAGCGTGCCACTGAGCAGAAGGTGCAGACGGCCATCGTCTGCCCAAAAAAACATGAGGGGTGATGGAGGAGGATCAGGAGGTAGAGTGAGTTTCCCAAGCAAAGTGACCATGAATAACGCATCTCACCCCCCCACCCCCCCTTCTCCCAGTCCTCCTGAGTGTGGCCGTGACGGGTCTATTCTGGGACTACCCAAGGACTGGAGAGTCGAAATCTCACGCAGCCTTACATTTAGGCAAGCAGATTATAGCCCAGCCTACACTGCTGCAGGAACAAAAGGATCTATGGGGAATGAGAGCCTGACAGCAGTTCCTTTTCCTCCCGGCTGGTGGGGGAATGAACAAGGTTTCTGGTCCCACCCACTAGCCGCGGCTCAGTCAGTTCCCCTTTGCGGGTCAAGGTGTCTCCTCGTAGCGCAGACGCGTCCGAAGTGTGGCATCTCAGTGCGAGTTGAACCTTAGCAAGTCAAACCCAGTGTCATGAAACAGCGTCGTTTCCATGAAGGGTCAGCAGCTATTTATTGTTTTACTCACCCGAAGTCCAAGAGGGAGCCTGCAAAGAGATGTGCAGAGAGATGTGCAGAGAGATGTGCAGAGAGATGTGCCCACACACCTTGTCAACAGGACGGTGCAGAGAAGGAGCTGTTACCCTCGACAGGGCTGTTTCCCCGTGGGCGAACTTTACGGTGTGTGTTTGCTGGGTAAGATGGCCGTCCCGCCCAGCCAGTGCCGGGCGGCGTGTCGCCCAGTAGTTTAGGCCTCTGCACCTGTGACAGGAAGGTTGCTAGTTTGAACCTCAACAGTATAGTCACATCTCCCCCCCCCCCCCATATGCTCCAGAGGTCCCACACAAACAGCACGAACACTCAGCCCACCCGTACACATGTGTCTCAGAGGAGAGCATGATGGGATATGTGAGAAGAAGCCTTCCAGTGTGCTTGTGCTTACGTCTTTTCATTTTTGTACTCAACACTCCCTGGGCTAAGCTCCAGACCCTGTGCTGGATACGCGGATGGAAGCTCGATGGGTGGATGGATGGATAGATGGATGGAATTAATTGGTGAAAAACATAGTAAGTGTGACAGTATAACATACTCTCTGCACCCTCCTCCTGTAGGACAACAGGATAGAGATTTATCATACATGTGTACATCACAGTTATACTTCCTAGGTTACACAGGGTGTAAATGTACAGATAGAAAATGCTGTTATCCAATATTGGGTGGTACTTTGGGATAACTACTTACTCAAGGGGGAAACACTGTTCATTGTGTAGCAGAACTGATGACACGTGGTGTTTCAAAACTTCTTTAGTTTGTTATTGTGCTAACATTTGTCTTATCGTAACAGTAGTGCTTGTTTTGTTTGAAGGAAGGCGAAAGCAGCGAGTGTTTATATCCGTCTATCGTGTTTTCCTCATTGCAGTCTGAGTGTAACAAAAGCTCGTCTGATAAGGACGAGCTTGGTACGGGACATGGAGGCACGGGGAGAGACAGGCCACTGATCGAGAGAAGGCCTTGTTCAGGGGAGTGCGACAGCCAATGGGAGAGGCCCGACTGGTGGGGGTGGGGTCAAACCTCAGAGATCTGCCACCCGCACTGTGATCTCTGACCTTTTGAACATGGGACCACTGTTACAGATGTGTAAGCAATATTTCCCCCCCTTTTTGTAATACCTCCTGCATTTCATTATCTTTACACTGGCACCTGGCAAAGAATCTGCTCCTGTAGAGTGTGCGATTGCCCCTGTGGAGTCTCGCTGTTTGAAAGCAGCCATCAGCGACTGGGCATCGCTGTAATCCTCAGACTTAGAGCATGACACAGGCCTCCCTACGCACCACAGAGGACGTCAAGCAGGACAGGCACGGGCAACCTGCCACCGGGGGGGGGGTTCAAATATGCTCTCAGGAAGTTATGCTGTTGGCAGAGGGAGGTATTAGCTTTTTACATTGATAACACCGGCAAATTATAGGAATTGTTTGCCTAGGAAAAGAGAAGGATAACGATTTTGTTTCAGCCAACTCAACTGGTTGGTTGAAACAAATTCTTGGTCTGGATCTTTACTTTCCTGCGGTGTGTTGGCGCCTGCCCAGGGTTGCTTCCCACCTGCACCCCTTGATCCCGGGATAGGCTCCGGTCCCCCCCGCGATCCCAGTTGGGATTAAGCAGTTACAGTGATGGATATATGGATGGATTTTTACTTTCTGGATCTGCATTATCTACCTCTGGGAAGAGGACAGACCTGAACTCCCCTCCCTTGCGGAGGATTGGAAAGTTCCTGAAAGCAGCCGCTGGTCTGGTCTGTAGGGGGCGCCGCACCCAGCAGAGGGAATTTTACTCTGATGAACTGTCGTGACGAGCATGTCATCAGCCCGGAAGCTTCCTTGGAGGCAGGGCGACAGCGCCGCCCTGGTGCTATTCTCCCACCATTTGATATTAGGTGAGCATCTCCTCATAGTTACATCGGTCCTGCGTTTGACGTAGCTTTGCCATGGGAGAAATTCTTATAATTAGGTTCTACAGGGTTCCTCAGACAAACATATAAAATCTATCAGGTTAAAGACATTCAAATTTATCCCTGCCCCCCCTCACCTCCCCCTCCCTTTATCCTGCACCACAGCCTGTGGCACCTAGAGACCCCCACATCTAATAAAACAGAAGCTTCCATTAATCCTCCTTCATTTTCATTCCGACTCGGATGGAAAAGGCAGCAGCAGCAGCGGCTCCACATGCATGGAGTAGAGAAGCAGACAAAGTAGGCGGTTTATTTATTTAGCCAATGAAGAAAGCTTTACACCGCAAACATTTTTTGGAGGGGGGCGGTGGAAGACCCTCTGTATGCAAAGGAGTAATTTGGGGGGGGGGGGGTCGTCCCCTTGGAGGGGATGGAGAGGTGCCACAAGCGAAAACCACATTAAAGCCTGAGAACAGATGATACACACACCACCAAAGTGAAGTGCAGAATTACGGCTGCTGCAGTGAAATGATCCTTTACAGCCGTGTTTCCCAATCCAGTCCTTGGGATGGGTGGACTGTGGCAGGGAGCTGGGAGGGAGCAAAAACATGGACCGTCTGCGAATCCCCAAGGACCGGGTTGGGAAATGGTGTTTACAGAATAAACAGATGAAGCAGTATTATCCTCTCAGGTAGCCGTGCCTTTCTGCATACTCTGTCACCTCATAAGTGAATATTGTCCATTTTTAAAAACAGAGTCTGAAAAATGTTCGGCAGTAAGACTTCTTTGAATATTACGGCTACCATTCCGCATGCTCCTTGTTTTGCTCTATTCTTTCCACATCCCTGGCAAAGCCAACAAATTGGCCAGTATTTTTACGCCACCTGGCAAATCTATTAGATGTAATGATGGCATCTGCTCCCTTCATGTTTATTAAAAAAAAAAAACTGAATGGGCAAATCAACAGCTGTCATTGGGTCTGATTTCTTGGGGCTACAGCCCACAGTATTTGAGCCCCATTCATGAAAAAAATGTGAAGCCCCAGGTAAACTTGACTTTTAAAATGGCTAGAAACTCCCCAGGAAAGATTTATAGGAATCAATCTGAAAGCAAAGAACAAATTCTGGTGGAGATACTTTTTGTTCAATCCCACTTGTTGGGAATCAAAACAATTTCCACATTATGCCTGCAGATTCCTAATCTGGAAATTGTTTTTGCAGTTCTTGCATACAGCGTGACAGTATTATCAGTTTTTAAAATACATATTCACAAGAGTCTAGTTTAGCCTTTTTGTTAAAGTGATAAAATCAAACAGAAAAAATATAATTTGGCTCAACAAATGGAACCTGTTTTTAAATAAAATAACTGTGCTACATTAACAGTCCTGAAATGCTTCCACGCCTCTTGAAATAATATCCATGATCATTTTGAGTGCCTTGAGAAAACTCAGCTGTGGAAATAATAATTGAACTAAAATGTTTTTGCAAAGCATCGTGGGCCTATTCTGCCATGGAAAAACACATTTTTGCGTGGTCACGCCTCAAAATCCAAAGAGTTAAGCCGCTGTTGCCATGAGGTGGGGATCTTTTGGACGGTATCCTTCTCAGCATACCCGATTTTCTACGATGACCCATGTGAGAAATGATCAAAGACCTCTCGGTGTAGCATATGACTGCTGTCCCCAGGGTGGTGCATCTCCAAGCCACAAATCATTCATATCGGAATGTTACTCACGGGGCACAAGGGCAATGCAGTCATCTGTCTCCTCTATGGTCATAACATGCTAGGACTAAACTGCGATTGATGTTTCAGGTGGAATTACTGTTGTGGTCCTTCAGAAAGTCCTGGGTCTCGGAGGAAGACCTGTGGTCATCGCACGCATTGCAGTTGGAAATGGTTGCTCGCCTCGGTGTTCTGATCATATCTGGACCTGCCAGACCATATGGGCTTCTCAACCCCCCCCCTGGACTCACGCAGAATTGCGTGGGAGACGAGAGTAGGGTGCGAGCATCATCCTGCTAATTAGTCTCCCTGGATTTCTCTTCTATTGCTTACAGATGGCAGGGGTGAGCCGCAACGTGAAAACAAAGATGTTCAGATCCACGCTGTTGTCCCTGTTTCCCATCCTGTTTCCTCAGTGTGGCAGGAAAACTCCTTTTTGCCATCGGAAGTTAATTCCTCCTTTTACATACAGCTCTTACGGACTTTCCACTTTGATGGGAATCGGGAGCAGCCTTGTCCTTGTGCAGGGCCATCCAACTGCCCAAATTCTACCCGTTTGTCCATCACAGGGTCACAGTGAGTAGGAATGTAGGAAGCAAGGGGCACAAGAGCAGACGACATGCCTTGGCTAAGATACCTGTCCATCCCAGGGCACGCACAGAATCACCCACAAAGGTCCATTCAAGAATCAAGAATTTTATTTCCCGTTGTATAGAACAACGTGACTAAGCAGCGTCTCTCAACAGCGAAATTAAATACAGGAAAAAATGGGGGGGGGGAGAAAATGATAAAAACAGTATAAATATATCTGCACAGTAAGTACACGACAGATTCTAGGAAATGAAATGGTCAGTAAGTGAAGTATTCATTATAAAGTGCAGTCACAAGTGCATTAGTGCATAAGGAGCAAGTCAAAGGGTGCTTACCAGTATGCGTACGTGACCCTTCTTGTGTTCTCTCGTCCCCATCTGACATCATCTTCCATCACCAAAGTTCCAATATTCAAAAACAGAAGTACAGAGGATGGTAAGAATGTTCTTGCCCAGCCCCAAATATCGAAGATACATCGGCTGCTTCCTCACCAAATGAGATCAATCCCGTGGGATTGATCTGGGAGGCAAGTTAGCAAGAACTTGTTTGCCAAGAACGCAAGTATGATCTTTGCATTCTTGGTATTAAACATCCAAAGACACCAATTTGTTTTTTTACAGAAAGTGGAGTACGTGGAAAAACCCGGCACTGCGCTGGGCCACCTGTCTACATGCATATGGTAGTGAAAGTTATGAGGGTACATTTAGTATTATTAAGTATTTGTCTTCAAACTCATTTGAAGAGGTAAATCAATACAGAAAATGAACCCAGCTCTCTCTCAGACGCATGCAGTCATGCAGACATTAACATTAATTTTTTGTTTTTATTTAGCAAATGCTTCTGTCCAAAGCAACATACAAGTGAGGTAAATATCACATTACAACTATACGTGCTGCCAAGGAGTCAACTAGGCATAAGTGCAGCTAGGCTGAGCTTCTAATGAACGCCCAGGTACAAGTGTAAGCAGGACTGGAGCAAGAGCTACACAGCACCATGCAGCAAAGTAAGAACTGGATAAGACTACTTCATGACCGAAAGTGCAGCATTAGGAACATAGGGGGAATATAGACAGGCGTCAGGCAACAGCTGACAGATCTACAAATTATGTATTGTCCTTAGCATCAGTATAAATTGTTCAAAAGCAGAAATTGCGGAGAGTCTGCTGTGAAAAGTCAGTCCTGGAAATAGTTCAGCAGTAAAACAGGCCCAGGACTCTTGGGGTGCCTATATAAAAATCATCGAATACTTTAAAGGGAAAAGATAGATGTGTGTACAGCACAGGGTCATCTTATTCTTAGTGGTCAGGCAGCAGCTGAAATACGAATAGTGATGTCAGGATCTGAACCAGCCGTTCTGGGCTCTTCGGAATAAGTGCAAATATCTAAGACTGAAACTTATCGCAGCCCAGAGGGAAATCTTGTGATGAAATCAGAAAACAAGATTAATGAGGAAATATGATAAAATATGTAGGAGAAAAGCAATAAGTATTTTCCAATGCATAGTCTTTTGGGAATTAAATCCAATACTAATTTGCAACAGTTTTATGCTCAGTAGCCATTTGATATTAGATTAGGAAAAAATAATTAAAATAGGCTTTTAACTTCAGAGATTATACATATTCATTTAGGACAGCAGTTGAGTGATTAAAGAACTGAACTCTGGGCTTTATTCTTGGGATTTGCAGTGTTCCTACTTTTTACTTAAATTTTACATTTTAGAAAATGCTATATAATTATTTGTTGTTCGCATTTTTTCTCTATTATGCACGAAATGGCTGTTTCGTACCTGTCTTACGTTTATAGGTATAAGGTAGGCAATAATGGAGCCATTGTAATTTAAGAACAGTGTCACATGACCCCAGGCAGGCATGTGACTTACTTGTCATTGTTCGTTTCTTGTTCATTGTACCGATAAAGAACAGGGGACTGTTATGCTCAAAATTTCAAAAGTCAGGGCTGTCACTTCGTTGATGAGCGATGCAGCCCCGGCTGTTCATTTTGCTGACAGTTCAGTCCTGGGTCAAGAGCCCGTCTGCTGATAAACCGTAATTTCCGGCTTGCAGCCGCGATAAGCGATGGTGCCAGAAATGCGCTCCGGGCGCAGCCCCGCGCACCTGACCGAGTCCCCGCCGCTCAGGACGCAGAGGTGGCCTGGAGCAGGCTCCGGAGCCGGCAGTATTCTCGCCTGCCCCCGGAATTGCATTAGCAGCCCGGTTTCTACCCGTGGCGAGGGTGAGCTGCAGGTCTTCTGTGAGTATTGAGCATGTGAGAGAAATGGGACAGATGGGCCGCGCCTGACGTTGCGGACTCTTTACTCGATCCGTCGATATACGGCCCCTTATCTGTCCCCATTAGCAGCCAGGCAGCCCTTTTCCGTGGATTACTTACCTCTTTGTGCTACCTGATTGATGGCCAATCATCTGTTCTGGTGCTGGTGCGATAATCCATTCCAGTCATGGCGGGGGATCCACAATCAGCCGCTCCTGCCTTACGTCACATCTAATTACTTAGAGGATGATGCTATCTGACGTAATTTAAATGTTTCGCAGTTAAGACGGTGAACTCGATCCTGGAAGCTGAACCGGAAAGCATTTGATCGCGAGTCTGGTCTTTTTGTAATCCATGCAGGTTTGAGTAAATAGTCCAAAAATGGAAACCTTTCGGGAAATTCTTTCTCCGGCTTGCAATGAGACTAAAATATTTCAATCAGCATAACTAAAGTATAAACAATGATAGCAAGTCCTCCCTTTTGTAATACATCTTAAATAGTACATGAAATGTTTACAGTTACTATTGTTATTGAGTATTAAACTAATGTTTTTAAACACATATATATGTAGGTATTTTTATTTATTCCAAAATGTGTATAGTAGACCATGCATATGACACAAATTTACATTACTGACATATTTATGCATGCGTGGTCCATCTCTGTCACACTGGGCTGAATCAGAAACCACAGCAGGAAACCATAATACCAGAGTGCTCTGCCGCTTCCTGTTTCGGGTGATCTTATCTCTGCCTTGGGCTCCGTGAATAGTTTTTGGTAACTCCTGACTTAACATTATTTTCTTCATAAACATACAGAGGAATGTCAGAGTTCTCTAATATGGAAATTCAATTTTAAAAAATGGGCTGTGTTGATATGCAAGCAGATCCCGGAATATGAATAAAATATATAATATAGTTCTCAGAGCAATGGAACCGGTATGACTTGCAAAATTAGGAATGACTCAAGTACATTATTTTTGGCAAAGCGATGTGTCTAAGCACATGGCTATTTGATAGGATCGTGTGAGTACCTGCATTTTTCACCTGTGTATCCTGTCTACAGTATTTCTTTTGCCTTGGCCTGAAACTATGAAAATCTGACTGCGACAGCTGCATTACTACAATGCCCCTTGTCGATATTTTCTTTCTGTCTAGAAATGTGTATTTGATGGGAAACTATTGTGGCCACTTTCCTCAGATTTCTGATTACAAATTAGAATCTTATCACATTCCAGAAACACTCATCCTGTACTCCCATACACCGTTGCCTTGGGAACTGACCAAGTAATGCGAAACACGATTCCCTTTGCTGTTCGCTGTCAGTTAAGCATGTGACAGTTTCATTTTCATTGCTGTTTATATACACGACTAAATACTTGGAGGCTAAAACTAGTTTATTTTAAGAGCTGTATGTTTTGTATGGCTTATAACAAACATGCATTTATTTATCTTTGTAAGTTATAGTACATGGCAGAAATATCAGGATAGCAGTAAATAAACTGTCTTCGTCTTTGCTCTAACAAGGCTTACTGGAAAACATTTCACTAACTGACATGCATTTACATTGTAGTTATACCATTTTTTTTTCAGTGACCTGGAAATTTACAGTTCTTTACATGTGCGTACATATACTAATATATGGTATGGGAGATGGATGGATGGATATATTACTTGAGAGATTTTGGTTAAGCAGCTCAAGAAAATATGCAACAGCCAGGTATTTGGACTAGCAGACTTGAGATAACATCTCCCTACCTGCTTCCCTGATGCATTATGAAAGCAGGGTTGCCAGGTCTGCCATGAGACTTGTGCTTTCAGACTCTCATGCTCACGCAAGAAATCTTATGGCAAATCTATATTTTTCCATCATAAACCAAAAATTAGCAACATTAAAAGCGTTGGGGTAGTTTGCAAACCCTACAGGCTATTTACAAGGTAATAAAACTGTTACATACATGTAGATATGTGTGCAGACCTGTCTCGAATTGAATATCTCACGTCAGCCAGCTGACCAAGGTTGGCAACCCAGTGTAACATGCAGGTTGACTTCTGATGAGTTTCCCACCTGCCAGCAATGTCCACTGACTCACAGTGTGTCATAAAATTACCAAGCAGTTGGTTTTCAGAATGAGTGTGATTTCTTATTGTCAGCAAACCCCAAATATATGTGTGGGAGTTTTCCAGGCTTTAGCGATAATGCTGTGGTTGCTCTCTTAAAGCCAAATCAGGAGTCAGGAGCCTCTTATCAAGATATTCATCCCAAGCATCATCTCTCCCTTGTTTTCTCGTTACAAGGTTCAGGTGCTCCACACCCCTATGTGTCTCCATCATTATTTCCTGTCTTTTGGGCTCCAATTACTTCCCCTGCTCAATATGATAGGGCTGCCAATCATTTTTTGGTGGAACCATCTAGAAAAACATAAATGAGGCAGTATTCTTTGTATAGTTATAGCAAGAAGCACAGAATTGTCCAAGGACACTATGGTGGGAAAGCAAAACTGTTCCCAGGTTTCATTGATAGACAGTAGTGAGTCTGACGGTTTCAGCTGGCCAAGTGATGTTTAGCCACAGACCTGATTTAGCCTTCAGCGTAGCGATAAGCTGCAGAATTGAATAAGGTGCATATTCATACAACCAAGGCTAACACAAAACACAGATACAGAAACTTCGAGGCTAACATTAGGTCCAGATACATACTTATGTTGGTTACATCATGCAGCAGTAATTGGTCTGCATTAGCTAAAGGTGACAAGGTCAAACTTTTTATGGTTACATTAACATCTTCTTAATAGTGTCCTCATGATTACATTCTCGATGTGTTATGCAGCACTAAATAATATTCTATAATAACAGGACATCTGCAGCCAAGTACGATAGGTCCTATTAAGGAGCTCAATGCAATGCAACAGTTCAATGGACCGCTGGTCATTTCAGGCAATCAATTTAACTGATAACAGGACTTTCACGACAGATTTACAAGTGCAACTTATGCAGTTTGGAATGTTTGATCATTTTTTGGCACTGAAACTTGGGCCTACAGTCAGAGAGTTTTAAAAGCTAGTGAACTGTGCAGAAAATTAATCTCAACTGGTTCTGTGTAACTGCGTATCAAAAAAAAAAAATCGTAAACATCAGCATGTTGCCATCTTTCCAAAGATGCATGGACTTGAATCATCTTTGGGATTTTCCAGGAAACAGTAAAACCTGTCTCTAGTTTTTTTTTTTTATTGACTAAGCTCTTATTCTGTCTGTTTTAAAATAACAGCTTAAATATAACTTCCTTGCCATAACAATACTACTACATAATTCAATTGTGTGTTGCACACTATGTTGCAATTACTCTATCATCTTAAATTCCCATGCATTGAAATCATTGTCTCTTTAAATGTTTTCTGTCCTTGAGCCAGGTTGTACGGTCATTCAGTAACCTACTTGCATGAAATAGCAAAGTCCAAACCATTTTTATTAAGCATCCTCCACAGAAGACTTCGAAAGAAGCAACCAAGGAGAAGTGCGAACACAGTGTGAATTGATTTATTTTGCAAATGAATATTGAATGTACGGATTAAGGACGTTCATTTTTTGTTCATCTTGTGTGCAAAGTATGCGTCTGGCACAAAGGCAAACATTAATGGTATCTCATGTGTCAGATACATGACGGCCAAATTATTTATCCAATCCTTGCTCTGCCAATACAAATACTTATGTCCGGACATCTTTACTGGCAGGAAACAAATTAGTATAACTGATTTGACGAAAAAAGATGGGACAGAACCAGGCTTTTGTGTGAGGTCTCAAAGGACACTGATAGAGTATAAATATAGTTATATCACTCTCCTGATTAATCTACTTCCAGCTCCATGGTCACTCCTTGATTTTGCCCATCTCTGAAGACTGTAGTCTTTCAGTGATCCATGATTGAGGGAGAAACTGTCCATCCTTCTCTTTGCAGCACAGTTCATTTAATGCTGGCTCACAAGTCAGACAGTTTTCACGTTCCACAAACATCAAGCCGCTGCCACTGAACCATTTTCAGGCCAAGTGGATTCTTCTAGCTTTCAGTGGGACGTGAGTTGATTTGGTGGATGGACGTGATGCGTGAAATTCAGCACATCTGTGTGAACCTCTCCCTTCTGGAGATGCTATCCTTTGGATACTGTATTTTCGCACAAAATAGCAGGACTTGCACTGCAACCCTTTTCCAGGACATCTGTAATTTGAGGATACTTAAGGTTTTTTTTTTTTTGGGGGGGGGGGTGCACTTTATTTGTGGGAGAGTATATTGACATATCCGTCAGTTTTCTAACTGCTTATCTGTATCAGGCTCATAGAGAAAGCCTGGAACCTATCCTAAGCAGCAAAGCTTGAGTAAACCTTGGATAGGACACCAATGCATCAAAGCACACAATTATACACTATGAGCAATTTAAAGACACCAGTCAGCCTGACTACATGTCATTGCACTACTGGAGCAAACCAAGGTAAATATCATTACAGCGTTATGGTGCATTACTGAAAAATTGTGTGAATTGGAATGTTTGCACCTTTTTATTTAAAGAACATCTGTTAACTATTTCATTTTTTATATTGTGCAATCTAATTCATCAAAAAAAAATCAATGTTTCGAAAAATGCTTTGGAAGCAATTTTAAAGTGGGTCTTTATACAGTATAAAAAAAATGCTTATGGACTCTTTTGCGACATTCATAAAAATGCATGCTAACACATCGTTTTCTTTCACGTAATACCCCAGCACAAGGGCAGCCTACGTAAAATGTCACTCACAGAGGACAGGAAACATCTGTGATGTTCCATCTCACATTTTCCAGGGCTGGGTGTGGGTTGTGCACACTGCCAAACACTGCACTGGTAAATCCCATGAGAAGAGGGGGGGGGGGGGGGGGGGCAGCCTGGGTGCATACAATGCAAAGCTCAGGAGGTAAAAAGGGCCATCGTCACTATGTCACTGTTTCATTGACAGGCTTTGCGTCCCAACTCATTTCACTGTTTGGTGCCCTGAGCTTCATTTTAGGCTACTTTATATAATTCCCAGGGACTGTTCACAGGCCAGTTCCCCTTCAACATGCACTTTTGAAATTGTCCTGAAGCTCTTTTTATATGACAGCTGCAAACATCAGCATGCTGGCAACATGATAAAGACTTCACAGCGCTAGAATGGCATGAGATGGGTTCAAGGACAGGCTTGCATCAGATGACATACTGAACTCGCTTTGTACCTGCCGAGCCAATCGAAGCTCCTTTGCTTTAGCAGAGCCGCTCGCTGCTGTGTGATTACAGGGCCCTTATGGATGTGACTGAGGTAACATGGCAGTTAGAGACAACCACAACTGGTTCATCAGTCCCAAGATGAAACCTGTTGCTGTGCCTTTAAAAAGCTATTTAACCTTCAATCGTTCTACTGTATAAAATGTAAGAGTGAAGGCTGCTTTAAATAAAAGTGCCTATGAATAAATTGATAAAAAAAATTATTGTTCCACACAGTTTTACTTGATTCAGTGCTTCTCATCCTGGGTCTGACTGATGGTGGAGTCATACTAGGTTTGGTATGCTTGTCCCTGTAATGTTGCCCTCTGTAAAAAAAACAAAAAAACACAAAACTTTGAGTCAAGCTGGTTTACATTTAAAATGATTTGGCTGTAAGAAGCAATAAAGTCAATGGCCCTTTAATATGAGAATTCTGACACAAATAGTCTATCCCCATGGCATTTGTCAGGGGCAGAGGGAGTGTCTGTACTGGGGTCTATTCTGTGATGACAATGACGAGGCAGTGTGACATACAACACATGCATTCACGCTGCACTCACCTCAAAAGGGGGGTGGGTTTTAGCTTATGAATTCTGGGCAGCCTTCCCATAACCAGAAATCGTAAATATACAATAATGTGTGCGTACACATATTCACTTTAATGAAAATTCAATTATTGTAGCAACTCCATTATGATACATTATATATACGGGATGCATATATTAATAAGAGTCTTATTTGGTTTATGAGGGTCATGTGTGTAGTAAAGATCCACCAAAAGTGTTTTTTAATGATCCGTGTTAGAATGGGACCTATTCATTAAACACGCGGACCGGAGGGAAAGGCACGAATAGCGCTGTGCGTGTGCACGACAGCAGCTCATGAAGACGGGCGTGAACGCGCCGAACCAGACGTAGCCGGCTCTTCCCTGGGAGAGAGAGGGAGGGAGAGAGAGATAAGAGAAACAGAGGGAACACGGAAACGGCAGGAGCGCTTAACAACGAGAACGACGTGTGTTGCTAGCTGACAGAGATACGGTTCGCTCAGACCCGCTTCCAAAACCAAGATTTTTGTGCGCATGGTTTTCTTTTATTCTATTTTGTCGCGGTCCTTGGACACGAGGTCTCCGTTGTGGACAAAGGGAATTCTTTCCCCTGTTAGGAGAACCCATTGAGGATTGAGAATGTCGGGGAGCAGGGAGGAGGAGCGGCGGAAGCTGGCCGACATCATTAACCACTGGAACGCCAACCGGCTCGACCTGTTCGAGATCAGCCAACCTACGGAGGTGAGCCCGGGGACCTCCCGGGACCTGCAGGCCGTGTGAGGCCGGCTCTGCCCGTCCACAGCCGCGGCTAGCGAAAGCAACGAGGCTGTGCCCGGCTCTCTACCCGGCTGCGCCTTTAACCAAACTGAGCGACGTAATTTTGAACCGGGGTGACGAGCGCCTGGACTAGCCGTGTAGAGGGACGGCCGGCCGCCCGCCCGGTGTTTAGCGTGTGAAACTCGTTTAGCGATGACGGGTTGTTATCCAGCACTGGCTCGGCGGTTAGCTGTGCGCTTCGCTGAACAAGTGCATCGGGTCGCAAAAATCGCTCTTATTTCTGGTCCCCCCCAGAGATATATGTACGCCCGGGTACAGCTATATCTATCTATCTCTGCGATATAAAACAAGCCGTACCACACATTTGTGTGAATTTCTCGGTGTTGGTTAATGATTAACCGCCCCAAAGTGCGGTTTGTGCAGAAAACCAAGGGAATAGCCCCACGTACGACTATGGTTAGTCGCTTTGCAACTTGGCTTAGTATCCGCCGGCGTTGCCCCTACACATGACGACCGGGCGGGGGAAAGGCGCTCTTCTCGCTTTCCAGACCCCACATTAAGGCGAAATCCGAGACATTTAAAGGGTCGCGAGCCGGAGCTAACGGCTAACTGCGCGAGGCGTGATGGTTTCCCCGTGAGGCGGCTGACGTATCTACCTGTGAGACCGTGAGCGTGCCCCGGTACTACCGGCCAGCATTACCCGGTACACATGAATATTAATGTCGGCTTGCGATAAAATTAGCTAAAACTGCTTTGCCTTCTACGTTATCGAGTACTTTAGTACTGGTTCGGTTGCTTTGATCTTTTATATATCCAAAAACAGGGGGGGAAATGCGGAATCCGATCTCAATCTAAACATATGGTGAGCGGCTCTGTTTTAGGTATGAAGTCACCTGCAGCCGAGTTACGGTTTTTTCTTTTTTTATTGGACAGGAAATTTTGTTTTAGGCGCGCATCCAGAATGGGGGGTGGCGGCGGCGGTGACCCTAGCAGACAGTAAATCGACCTCGACACTTGTGTATCTGTTATGTTTGTCACTTCCAGTTTGTCTGTGCAGAGCCAGCAGAAGTGTCTCCTACCCTATTTGTAGAGCAGCATTGAATTAAATCACGTCATTAGAGATGCACTGATTTGTTGCACTGGCGCGTAGATAAGATGGCCAGCCTACAGTGACAAATTAACAGGGTTCGGCTTTGTAAACAAGATATTTAAAACTGAAAAACAGTGCGTCATATTAATTTTAATTGGTACCCCTTCAAAAGAAGTTTCTAAAAGCAGTCCATGGAAATTTAGTGATGTACGTAAACCAGATCATACACCTGGGTGGTGAAGCGAACCACGGCCTGCCTTTGTATTCTCTGTGTTAATTGTGGTGGCATCTAATTAGAGTTGGTATAAATGGACGTTTTAAGCCCATGAACCCCGGTTTAATAGTAATGACTGTTTATCCCGCCATATAAACGATTATTATCTGTAATGGCCACACTGGGTATTTAATCAAACAAGTTGTTTTCAGAAATCCAAAGCAGTGCATTATATACGTGCAGTGTACGGTGTGTATCCCCTTAAAATTACCGATGCAAAAACGTAGGAAGGAGAAATGTGCATAAATATTGAGTGAGATCGTAAGCTTTTTTAAAACCTGGCACTTCTGAGACCAATAAAATTAGAAGAGCACATTTAATCAGTGGGGGATGGTTAGGGCTGGGAGTTTGTGTTTTTGTGCGATACTGGGTGGGGGAGCTCTCTTTTGCGGGTATCCGAGCGGACGTCAGCATTCAGCTATTTGGAATTTGGGAGTCGTTTTAGCGCATTGGAGAGGTTTTAATAAAACCTAAAAACCATGTGGAATCTCTCCAGTCTCCGACCCAGGGCTTGAACTTTTGTGTAAGCCGACAGGGAAACAAATGAATTGATTAAAAGCAATTACTCATCCGGGATTAACTTGTTTTAGAGTTATGGGTCTGTTTCCTACAGGTTTTCTGTGGTTTTTAAGGGATTAAAAACCCAATTTCCATGGTAACACCTACTTGCTGGCTAAAGGATGTCAAGTGGCTCATGCTCATTGCTTTAATCAAACCCTGCTGATGCTTAAGATAGCTTTTGCTCATTCATATAAATCCATCTTTTTTGCCAAGAGGAATATTATAATTGCTGTACAACTGGAATGCTGTATGTTTTTAAAAGTACTATCACTGTGTAAAATAATTGCAGGCCCCATAAACAAATGCAGTGCTGTCTTTACACAGAATGGATTTATTTCATTTGCTCAATGTTTACCACTAATACTATAAATAGGTGTTATGGCAATACTAATGTCTTTATTACCTTTGGTGACCGGTTTCAGATGACTGAATAAACATTGCTAATATTTGTTAGAATCAGCCAATCACAGCGCTGGGAGCCCTCAGGTACAGGGAGGTTCTTCTTGTTTACATGTCTTTTCCCATCTTGCTGTGTTTACGTTGTTAGTGGCTATAGTCAGATTTGTTTTGCACCACTTAGTATGGAATAGTTTTGGATATAGAGGAAAATGTGCTTCTTGAGTTTAATTATCATATTATCTTAATGTTTGAACCAGTACATGAGGTAAATATTTTTAAATTCACACAACTGATTGTAATTGCTGACAATGAACCTGTTTTCACTGTAGTTCTTCGAAATACCTGATACTTAGGAGTCTAAAACAACCCAACAGTATTTTTCCATCCATTCGGGTATCAATTCTGATTAAGAAGGTGGTAGATCAAGGAGGGAAGTATCACGTTCGTCCCAAATGTATGTAGTGTGCTGTCCTCGAAAGGGCTTGTTCTGCACAGATCCCTTTTGCCTGTTTTTGGAATTGTTCCTTCATGTTTGCAGTGTAGTTGCCTTGTACTCAAGTCCATAAAAAGTAGCTTGTTTCCTGTCAAGTCAGTAGGAGTCCATGTGGTGCAAGGATTTTATGCCCAAATTTGACCCTCTGATTGGTTGGATTCATGCTTTGTTGAGCTTTGCTGTTTCTGTTTGATGGGGCAGCTTTACTGCTTATGCTTCAGTAAGTTAGAAAATGAGCAATGATAACTCAAAGCCCCATGTTGCTGTTCTACTGTTTTCATTTCCAGTCAAGGTTTGCAGTAGATTTTAAATAGGAAGTGATGGATATCTCTCTATTGTTGACAGTTTTTTTTTTTTTTTTTTTTTTTTTTTTTTTAACCTGGATGAAGGTGGAAAGAGCAGCAACAATTTTCTCCATGCTTCAACCAGTGGCAAAAGTTGACTGGCTTTCTCATACCTGCCACTATGCTGACCATTTAGATTCTTCTTTCTGCTTATTGTGAGTTGTCTCCCACTAGAAAGTGTTGGTCTCTCAATCCATATGCTGTCATCAACCTTTGTAGGCTTTGTAAGGCAATCTCAAGAGTGTAGGTGTAGCATATGCTTAAATGCTTTAAACACAGACATGGCTCTGTTTTCCCCCAGTTGTCACACACCTGTGGTCTGCTCTTTCTCTCTCAGCCTGACAGGCTTGCTGTATGGTGGGGAACAGCAGATTGGCTAATGCTGACCAAGGGTGTTTAAGCCTAGAAGTGGCACATAAGTAATAATCATTACTTGATTATTTCATTGTAGTGTTTTTTCATTAATGTGCATTGTCCCAAATAAAAAAAATAAAAAAAATAAATAAAATCTTTGTGTTGTCAATGTAGGTATTTTTAACATCTTGGGGGAAATGAAAGCATCTTATCCAAAGTGTTTTTATTTGATACTTTCCAAGACAGGTTTGCATTTCACTTGGTGCCTGCTTTTCCTTTTAAGGTCAGTTTGTTTTCATCCGTTGCATATTTGCAAAGGGCATCCAGAGCTGCCCAGCTTGCAGCAGTTTACATGGTAGCGTGCACTTTGGTTCAGTTGTGGTCCACCTCTGCTTCAGGTTGCACCCCCCCCCCCCCATCAGAGTTTACCAGTGCCAAAGTGGATCTGAGCAGGGCTGCTGCCTGATGGTCACTGGTGCGTGTGCAAGCAATCTGTCGAGCAACAATGTTTGTCTTTCACATATCCTTAGAAGAACAAACCCCGGAGGGGAGGATGAGATGTGGCCTCATGAAGGCTGGCTGGATGGCTGGCTCTTCTGCTCCTCCCACTGAAGTTATTTTATCCAAAGCAGTGTATGATACATGGCTTACTTCCCAAAGTCATGTAAGTGTGTACTTACTGAAGCAGCTGAAGCTTTCATAAGTGATAATACCGGAGCCTTTCCTCGGACTTGAATTTTCTTTTTGCCGAAATCCTGGTCCTTAACTATTATGGATGCCCCTAACGATTACTTTTATATTGACAATTTTTTGTCGACTAATCTGATTAATCTGTTGAATAATCTAATAAAAAAAAATGTATTAAAAAAAAATCTAGCAAACACCAAAAAGTAAACATTAAACACTCACCATCAGAATGTCAACATTTTAGTGTCTAATGCATTATGCAAACTAAAAAGCTTTCCAAACAAATTAAAATGATATATTCCAGGTTAGGAATCAATGGATGATAGCAAAAGTTAAATTTAGTTCAAATTTAACCATAGTAGTGCAGTTTGTCATCTTGCCCTCTTCAAAGTTTGTGATAACTCGATGCGTCGATGTACACCACACTAATTAACATATTATTGTAATCGGTTACCTCAAGTATTGTCCCTGTGCTATTAACCACTAAACCCCCTGTGGAAGCCAGTCGTGGCATATTTATGACTTTTCTGGGGGCTTGGGAGATGTCCTGAGACATTAAACACAGATCTGATTTGTGATGAGTGTTGAAGTACATTTTATTAACAATCTGCTTTTTGCTTAGTCACATAAACGTATTACCTCACTCAGCAGTTTCTTATGATTTTTTTTTTCCCGCCTCCCTGTGGAACTCATCTATACTTGATTCCCTGTAGATGGGGATTAATATAGAGGTGGTACCCTTCCTGTAGAAACCTTGTGTCC